GGAACACAAACACATTTTCAATGCACACAAAAATATGTTTCATTCCAAATATAAGTAAAAGAAAATCCACATATAAAAAATAAGATTTATAAACATATTTGTGATACACACACAAATATTTCTTGTTTTAAATATGTGCAATTGAAATTCACAGATGTACACATGTAAAAGTATTTGCAATTTTCATCAAATACATATTTGGAAGTTGTTACATTGATATATGAACTGTTGAACCTGCATTTACAAAGTGCTTTTAATTTGTAAACTTCCCTGCATTTGTGTGTGGGAGTTTTGAGACTCTCCTGACGTGACTCGATTCACAAATGCATTTTTTCTAAGACGGGATTGTCTGCAGCCAATCAGATGTCTCACTCCTTTACAGCCAGTCACATGAGTGCCTCCACACGAGGAGTATTATATGACATCATTAAAGTGCACACAGGTGGGAGTAAGGTGAAGCTGCGGAGGCTGCAGTTTGCCGGTCCTCTGCGCTCCTCTGTCAACCACACGAGCATCTGTCCTGGGATACACAAATTTGCATAAATGTTGATTAAATATGTACAGTAAATGAAATCAGCCATAGACTATGAAATCTGAGTTACTTTATCCAAGCACTGGAGTTCCTGGTTCAAAAGATAAAAGGTTTAAAAGCTTAGATTCTTGATTTGACATAAGAAAAACTGGGAGAAAGTGACTCCTGAAACTGATGCGACAGGATAAATCTGGCCCTCGAAACGGTAAAAAAATCATGGGGGATCTATGAGTCGTGTGGACTGATAAGTTCTCATTCTCTCTGCGAGACGTCAGAAACACTTCTAAAAGAGTTTTCTTTGTGGATTGGTGTGACCTTTTTATCTCTCTCTGTCTCCAGACTCTGTCAGGCTGGTGAATGGGACCAGTCTGTGTTCAGGCAGACTGGAGGTGAAGTCTAACCAGTCTAACCAGTCTAACCAGAGGTGGTCCTCAGTGTGTGAAGCTGACTTTGACCAGCAGGATGCAGAGGTGGTCTGCAGGGAGCTTGGCTGTGGGGCTCCTTCAGTCCTCCAGGGGGCGCTCTATGGAGAAGTGGAGGCTCCAATGTGGACCAAAGAGTTCCAGTGTGGAGGCCATGAGTCTGCTCTCCTGGACTGTAGAAGCTCAGGCTCAAATAGAAACACCTGCTCACCTGGCAAAGCTGTTGGACTCACCTGCTCAGGTAGAAGAGGAGCTGCAGCTTTGATTTGGTTCATTTCTCTTACACTCACTTTGTTCTTTTACTGACGACTCTCTGGTTTCTGTTCAGAGCCTGTCAGGTTGGTGGGAGGATCCAGTCGCTGTGCAGGAACACTGGAGGTGAAACAGGGAGAGTGGAGACCAGTATATGACTCTTACATGAGCCTGAGGGAAGCAGCACAAATTTGTAAAGAGCTGGACTGTGGCTCTGCTGTTTCAACAGACGTGAGAAGAGAGTCCCGAGGCAGAACTGTGTGGCAGACCCAATATAACTGTATTGATTCTGGATCTGCTCTGAGGGACTGTGTACTGCAAGGTTACGGTTTCTCCAGCCGGGAGATCACCTGCTCAGGTAAGTCCATCAGTGATATCATCTCTGACAGTAATCATGGGTGTAAATGTTAGTTACATTATTGCTAAAGTGAAATTACATATTACTGTATAACAACGTATCTTCATCCATCCACATCCACGTTCCCAGGCCAGATGAGATACATAATCTCTTCAGTGTGTTCTGGGTCCGCCCCAGGGCCTCCTACCACTCGAATGTACAGGGAACGCCTCCAATGGAAGATGCTTTGGATGCATCCTGAACTGCCTGAACTGGCTCCTTTTGAAACAAAGGAGCAGCGGCTGCACTCTGAGCTCCGTCTGGATGTCTGAGCTCCTCCCCCTATCTTTAAGGCTGAGCTGAGACACCCTACGGAGGAAACTCATTTTGGCCACTTGTATCCGCAATCTTGTTCTTTCGCACAGGACGCAAAGCATGACCAAAGATGAGGGTTGGGACATAGATGGACCAGTAAATGGAACCCACCCACACCACTGCACAAGCTGCCACAAACCGCTGATCCATCTCAAGCTCCATTTTACCTTCACTCGTGATCAAGACCCTGTGATACTTTAACTCCTTCACTTGGGGCAGTAACTCTCTTCCAACCCAGAGGGGCAATCCACTGTTTTCTGGCAGAGAACCATGGCCGCAGACTTGGAGGTGCTTCAGCTCACTTCAGTGTTATTTATTTATAGTATATAGCCCAATATCACAAATTCACAATTTACCTCAGAGGGCTTTACAAACTGTACAACATATGACACACTCTGTCCGTCCAGCCTTGCACCCCAAGAAAAATCTTTAACAGGTAGAAAAGTACAGAAATGTCAGGAAGCACAACTGATGAGGGCTCCCTCTTCCAGGACAGACAGATATGCAAAAGATGTTGTGTGGTCAGACTTGACCGACATTATATTATTACAGTACTTCAAGGCAAGGTTCAAGGCAAGCCTGAGCCAGCCCTAACTATAAGCTTTATCAAAGAGGAAAGTTTTAAGCCAACTCTTTAAAAAGGTACTTTGCCGATTTTCAACTAGCTTTGTATAAGAACAGTGTGGAGCACCTGGAGGAAACCCACGCTGACACAGGGAGAACATGTCAGAGCACCTGGAGGAAACCCGCGCTGACACAGGGAGAACATGCAAACTGCACACAGAAGGGCTCCCCCACCCCAGAATTTGAAACCCCCCACCCTGCGGTTTAAACCCTCTTGCTGTTAGGTGACAATGATCACCACTGTGCCACCATGCCGCCAGGATTTTAAATTCAATTCTGTATTTTAAGTGAAGCCAGTGCAGAGAAGCTAAAACCAGTCAGTACACGTGCTGCAGCATTCTGGATTCAGCTGGAGAGTCTGTAGAGACTCAGTGGAGCAACCTGATAATAATAAATTTCAATAATCCAGCCTAGAAGTAACAAATGCTTGAACTAGTTTTCCTGCACCTTTTTGAGACTGGATGTGCCAGATTTTTGCAATCTAACGCAGTTGAAAAAAGCAGTCCTTGAGGTCTGTTCTTGGAGTTAGAGGACATAGCGTGATCAGAGATTACATCAAGATTCCCTACGGTGGTGCTTGAGGCCAGAAACTCTGTGAAACTTTGTGAATAACTTGGAGGAATTGTTTATAACATGTACAAACTGAGAACAGTCTGATGAATACAGCGCCAAACAGCTTAGTGTGGTTCCTTTGATGCCAGTTAAATTTTCCAGTCTCTGCAATAGGATGTGATGATCAGTGGTGTCAAATGTAACACTAACACCTAATAAGACAATTGTAGAGATGAGCCCTGTAATTTTCACCATAATCACAACATAACAATCTGCACAATCTCTCTCTCTGTCTCCAGACTCTGTCAGGCTGGTGAATGGGACCAGTCTGTGTTCAGGCAGACTGGAGGTGAAGTCTAACCAGTCTAACCAGTCTAACCAGTCTAACCAGAGGTGGTCCTCAGTGTGTGAAGCTGACTTTGACCAGCAGGATGCAGAGGTGGTCTGCAGGGAGCTTGGCTGTGGGGCTCCTTCAGTCCTCCAGGGGGCGCTCTATGGAGAAGTGGAGGCTCCAATGTGGACCAAAGAGTTCCAGTGTGGAGGCCATGAGTCTGCTCTCCTGGACTGTAGAAGCTCAGGCTCAGATAGAAACACCTGCTCACCTGGCAAAGCTGTTGGACTCACCTGCTCAGGTAGAAGAGGAGCTGCAGCTTTGATTTGGTTCATTTCTCTTACACTCACTTTGTTCTTTTACTGACGACTCTCTGGTTTCTGTTCAGAGCCTGTCAGGTTGGTGGGAGGATCCAGTCGCTGTGCAGGAACACTGGAGATGAAACACCAGAACGAGTGGAGACCAGTATATGATACATATAAGGAGTGGACCCTGAGGGAAGCAGCTTTATTCTGCAGAGAACTGAACTGTGGCTCAGCTGTTTCTATGGGATGGAGAAATGAGTCCTCAGCCAGACTCGTATGGATGATGAACTCTGGATGTGTTGGCTCTGGATATGCTCTGAGGGACTGTGTAATACCACAGTTCAGTTTCTATTTTGGGGTGCTCACCTGCTCAGGTAAGTCCATCAGTGATATAATCTCTGACAGTACTGTTTCCAGTGTAGTCCTTCCTCTCTCAGTGGTTTCCAATGGACTGAACTGTGAATTTATCCAGGACAGTGACATCCTGAAGGTCTCAGGTGACTAAAGGCCCATTTATGCTCCCTTTACGTACGAAAATGTTTACGTCCGTTTCAAACGATGTTACCGTCACTGCCCACATACTTCCATGTGTTCTTTACGTTGGCATGGATGTTAACCAATATATCTACCAGGGGGCAGCCCAGCGTCAAATGTTTATGACAACAACAAACTCAAAAACAAACATGGCGACTGCGGAGGAGATATTGATAATGTACCTCTTGCATAAAAGACAAAAACCGAGGCAGCGTTGTAGGAGGCGGTGGTCGGTGAGGCCGTTAAATACATCGCGACTGGAGGACGGAGAATTCTTTTCTCTAGTACTGCCGATGAGAGAAATTGAATTGTTATTTCTTCTTCGTGTCTCACTAGAGCTACATACCAGGTAGTGACAGCAACACTGCCCCCACGGTTCCCGGTGGTACTACTATGGAAACGTGCAGAAATACGGACGAAATGAACGCAGAGCACGGACAGAAGGCTCCGTCCGTAACCGGATCCGTATTTAACGTTGAGCATAAATGAGGCTTTATATGTCATTTTTTTTATGCAGTGTGAACAGCACAAATCACATGAAACCTGATTATTTTATATCTAATTTGGGCCACTTTTCCACGTGGTCTTTAGTTGGATACAGATCAGATTTTTTTTGCAGTACGACCCCAGTCCGAACAGTCATCAGAATTCACGCAACTTTTACAAAACTGACAGATAGGTCACGTGAACTGAGTGTCTTACCCAAGCTGTAACCTCCAGAGCTAAAGAATTAAGCCAGCACATGCCAAAAACTGCAGCAGCTAGTGGCTTTTCTATTATAAAACCAACTCTACTGGTTCGGTAGGGAGGAAGAGTAAAATCAAAAACAGCCACAGTAAGAAGGTGAAGAAGAGCTGCAGACAACAGGCTCTTCCTGCACCTCTGCAAACAGCTCACCTCCAACATCAGCCCGCTGCTTTAAAACTTCATCACTCAAGAAAAACTCGTCATTAGTTTAAGACAGACCTTCAAGCAGGTAGCCCTGTTGTAATGGAGACACAAGTCCCTGCCGCACTGGACTGATGTGTCGAGTTAAATCAAACCAAACCAAGCCAGCACGTGAGTAAGGAAAACGGGTAACACAGACTACTGAGCTTCGCCCGTGTTTCTTCCTTCCTCTGTGCTTTATTGTGACATATTGTGTCAGCCAACAGTATCATCCCGCTCTGTTTACAGATGTGCTGGTTCAGCCCAACATATCTGTGTCCTCCATGGACGGGGTCTCCGAGGCCCAGCAGCAGGGACTTCAGGTGCTCAGCGGCTCCAACTTCACCGTCAGCTGCTCCATCCAGCCACAGTTCCCAGGAGGCTCCTTCCTGCTCAGCTTCACTTCCTCCAACTCAACACACAATTACAACTACACCCAGCCAGCTGTCAATCACTCTGCCCACTTCCTCTTTCCTGCTGCAGAGCCCGCCCACCAAGGAAGCTACATCTGTGTTTATCACGTCTACGTTTTTTTTCAAAACTTCTCGTCTGAGAGCCGTCTGCTGTCTCTCACTGTGTCTGAGGAGAATGTGACGCCGAGTCAAAGAGGTAAATGTTCATGTTGGTTTCACTGAATGTTCACTGGTTCGGTTTACAAACCAAAAGTCTGACACTGTTTAGTGTGAACGTAAAAATGTTCAATATCAACAATATGATCGGTTCAGCATGACATGGAAACAATATGCAGGAGTTTTTTACAGTTTCTTGATTTTTGTCAGTCGATCATGTTACTTTTATTTTTAAAGAATGGCTGAACTTCCTGTTAAAGAGTTTGTAGTTTAATGGTTTTAAAATGTTGAGGACAACTTACAACTCTAATTTATGATCTGATGTGATGTGATGATTCTGTTTCAGCGTTTCCACCGATTTTCATCTTTGCTCTTGTTCTTCTGTTGCTGAGTTTGACGCTGTTCTTCACTGGCATTTATTCATCTTGCAAGGTACAGTTCACACACAGAAATTTAGAAAACAAAACCACGGCCTCATGTATGACAAAAAGAATGTGTCTGCATATTTCTGACTGACACAGTTTTATGCATCTGGCCCCACGTATTGGCTTAAACAATAACTGTTTGGCTTTGGTGCCACAATCACCACTGGAAACACGGATTGTGTCAATAAATAACAACCAATGTTGTTTGTTGCTTAAACATACAGAGAGAAGCAAAAGTAGAAGACGAACTGATCTCCAAAAGGCATCAAGTTAAAGATAAAACATGCTTTTCAACATTTCAGTGTATTATGTTTGTTTTGTACAATTTTAGAGTGAAAAAAAATGAGAGGAGCAACATGCAAAAGTCTGGGCACTCCAAGACATCTGAGCTCTCAGACAACTTCTCCCAGGGTCTCAGAGCTTAATGAGCTTGTTAGGGCTCTGGCTTGTTCACAGTCATTGTTAGCAAAGGCCAGATGATGCTCATTTCAAAGCTTTATAAAGACTCTGACTCCTGAAAGCTTGTCCCAACAATCAGCAGCCATGCGCTCCTCTAAACAGCTGCCTAGCACTCTGAAAACTAAAAGACCTGATGAAGACTAGAAGAAGAAGAAGATAGATAGAAAGTGTTTTCAGGGAGCTGTTTCCTCAGTTGGTCATGTCAGTAAGAAATGGCAGTTAACAGGAACTGTGGAGGTCAAGCTGAAAACTTTGTGAGAGAGCTGCTCGTAGGATTGTTAGAAAGGCAAATCAAACCTCTGTTTGACTGCAAAAGACCTGCAGGAAGATTTCTCAGACTCTGGAGTGGTGGTGCACTGTTCTACTGTGCAGACACACCTGGACAAATATGAGCTTCATGGAAGAGTCATCAGAAGAAAACCTTTCCTGTGTCCTCACCACAACATTCAGCCTCACAAGTTTGCAAAGGAACATGTGAACAAGCCTGATGCTTTTTGGAAACAAGTCCTGTGGACTGATGAAGGTAAAACAGAACTTTCTGGACACAATGAGCAAAGGTATGTTTGGAGAACAAACTGTTAAACACGGGGGTGGATGGATGATGCTTTGGGCTTGTGTTGCAGCCAGTGGCACGGGGAACATTTCACAGGTAGAGGGAAGAATGGATTCAGTTAAATTCCAGACATCACAGCATCTGTAAAAAAGCTGCAGATGAAGAGAGGATGGCTTCTACAACAGGACAATGATCCTAAACACACCTCCAGATCCACAATGGACGACCTCAAGAGGAGCCAGCTGAAGGTTTGGCCACGCCCCTCACAGTCCCCCGACCTAAACATCATTAAACATCTGTGGATAGAGCTCAATGAGCAGAGCATGAAGACGGCCCAAGAATCTCACAGAGCTAGAAGCCTTTTGCAGGAAGAATGGCTGAAAATCCTCCAAACAAGAACTGAAAGACTCTGAGCTGGATACACAAAGTGTTTAGAAGCTGTGGTACCTGCCAAAGGGGGCGCTACTGAGCACTGACCATGCAGGGTGCCCAAACTTTGGCTTTTCATTTTTTGTTATTTTGAAACTGCAGAAATGTTTCATCTTTGACTTCCTGTCTTTCAGAGATCACTTCATCTTCTACTGACTGAACTACTCACAGTAAACTAAATTTTGACCAGGGGAGCCCAAACAGTTAGTCAGTAAGTCATGTAGTGGAAGTGTAGTTGGCAGCCATCTTGCCTCTGTCTCACGTCATCTGCCAACCGCTTCTCCTCCAGATAAGAAAGTTGACTTAGATACATCAGACCTACGTCACCTTGAAAAACCCTGTTTTGGTGCAACTTGATATGATGCGTATAAAACATACTAATGTAACACATATATGTGATTTGCAGAAACGTACAGTGCTAACATCTTGTTCTGGGCTGATATATTCACCCAGAGGAGTGATTCAGTAACTGTGCTGTTGTGTCTCTGCAGGCCACCAGGGGACAGACATCTGAAAGACAGAGGGACACTGAAGTGTTATAACTGCACTGATTCAGTGAGGAAGAAGTCAAACGAACACCGATGCTCAACTGAAAAACTGATTTACTCAAGAGAAATTTTTTAAGAGTGAAGTAAGATTGCAACATTCTCCTGGAGACTCTGCGGAAGGTTTGCAAACACGTCACTGCCTCACAGCACCCAGAAATATTTTGTAAAAGTCAGAATCAAAGGTCTTCATTTTGAACCCGATCTGAAAACGGACTTGTGATTAATTCATGAACCCAAAGTTCATGTATTAATTATTACACGAGAGACCTGATCCAAATGAACCCAACGATGATTGTTAAGACAACTTATTTTTTCCATTTTTCAAATTTCTTTATTTGGCCCTGAATCCTTTATCTTCCACTGCAGTGCACTTAGTTCCCCCAAAATTTGTTCCCAGCTGTTAGTAGGTTCCCACCCTATTGGTTACATAGAGCGTACCTTTTTGTTTGCCTCGGCCGTTCTTTGAATATTTAACATATCCTCATTCAATGGTTCCTATGATATCTGACAGACATGCACAACTGTATGTTTGACATTTAACAAATTAGCGCCCCACGACTCAGCGCCCCTGCCACTTAGGTTAGGTTTGCAAAGAATCGCAGTTGAACGCCATCACGTTACGTGCTTTAATTATAGTTATGTACTTAACATAAGGTTACTTAAAAGAATCATAGTTGGGCACCGTCATGTTATGTGCTTAATGTTAAGTTCAATACTTAATATAACATTACGTACTTAACGTAGAGTAACATAGATTAGGTTTAGGAAAATCATCTGAGCATCATCATGTTACGTTAAATCATGTTACGTACTTAACATAAAGTTTTGTACTTAACATAAATTTACGTACTTCAAATAACGTAGGTTAGGTATAGGAAAAGAATCATTGTTGAGCGTCATCACGTCATGCACATAACGTAAAGTTTTGCATTAACATGAACTCACATAGTTAACATAAAGTAACGTAGGCTAGGTTTAGGAAAATAATCATAGTTGGGTATCATCACAATACGTACCCAACATAAAGTTACACAGGATAGATTTTGATACATATATTAGTTTTAAGAAAAGAATCATGGTTCAGTGCCATCACATTACCTACTAAACGTAAAGTTACGTACGTAACCTAAAGTAACATAGGTTAGGTTTGGAAAAGAATCATAGCTGGGCATCGTCAATGTTATGTACCTAACGTGAAGTTACGTACTTGACGCAAAGTTACACAGGTTACGTTTAGGAAAAGCATTATGGTTAGGTGTCATCACATTATGTACTAAACGTAAAGTTACGTACTTAATATAATAAAGTTATGTAGGTCAGGTTTAGGAAAAGAATTGTGCTTGGGTGTCATCACATATCATACTTAATGTAATGTACTTAATGTAAAGTTATTAAGTTAGATTTTTGAAAGTAAATTTACGAAAAAGAATCATGGTTGAACGTTGTCAGGTATTTTAACATTTTGGTACAATATAAGAAAACAAACCTTTTTGTTGATTAAGAATCACAACAGTGTTGATTATAATAGTACACAAAATAACGATAAAATCTGACGATGAAAATATAACAGCAGAAAATATAACATGTTGATTAAATTTATATCTGACTCATTTCTGTATTGAAAATTTAATTTAACTAAATGTACAAAAGTATCAGCATCAAAATATACTTTTAAGTACTGGAAGTAAAAGTACACTTCATTCTGAATAATACGTTATATTATTGGATTATAATTATTGATTCATTAACGGCGCAGAGCTTTAATTTTGAAGTGTTGTTTCCTGCTGTGGAGTGAGTGAGTGAGTGATGTTGTGTTCACACCGGGCATGGATAAAACAATTCACATGCGTGAATTACATGCAAAGTCCCGCTGGGTGGCATGATGGACACGACGTGAATGACGTGAAATATGGAAATTAGTAACAAGAAAGAAGCAAGTAGCGCAATTTCATGTGTTACGCTAACTCGGGAGCTGAAAAATATGAACTGACCAATTTCTGTAAAGTCAATGTAAAGATGCGATTAGATGCGAATTCCCGCCAGGAGGCATGATGGATAAGACACAAATGGTGCCAAAGAAGCGAGTAGCGTGATTTTGCGTCATACACTTATTAGCAAGAGTTGAAAAAGCTTAACGTCAATGACTAATTCACGCCGTGATAGCCAATTAGCATTGAGATCCTCCAGAAACGTATGGCGCAGACGAAGTACCGGTGGAAGTTTATCAACCAATTCAGCAATTAAGCGAGTCAACACGCGTTCAGCGGTGTGAACACAACATAACAGACACCAACTTGACGATGACAACAAACTAGCTCAACGACATTGCCGAACACAAGCATGACTCTGAATAATGAAACTGTGTGGACCTTGAACTGACGACGAGGGAGAATTCTGGACTGATTATTTCTTTCGTGATTAATCGTGGTGTTTGTTGTTTTTTTGTTTGTGTCTCCATTAAAATACATGTCAGTTAATGTTGAGACTACAGCAGGTTTTTTATTTAGATGGTGGGTAAACCTTCTCTTGACGTTTGTTTTACGGAATGTCCCTTTAATGACGACATATTGGACATATACAGAATTGTAGAGGAAATTTGAAGATTGTAACTCAATGGGTGAAAACTGTTTAGACTGGCTGCACATTTGCTGACATACAAGTAAACTTTAAAATGAACACTTTCTGAATGGAGTTTGGCCTGTGGGACTGCACATCTCTGTTTTACACTTATTTCCCCACATTTAGCAGCAGCAGCTCATTAGTTACTGTCCTTAAACTGCTGCCATCGTTTACTGAAACATTCAGGTGAGAAAAGGTGATCTGATTCTTAAAAAGAAAAAGTAGAGTCTGTCGTTAAAATGAATCAAACAAGCTGTTATTTTAATAAAGATTTCAAACTGCTGAGTAAATATTACAAAATACATTTGTAGATACAGATTCATAAACAAAACATCCTGTCCCGGAAAGATAAACAGGTTTTATCTTTCACGTGTTTCAGTCTGAATGACAGAAGTCAAATGTCCCACACTCTGATGAGGCCACAAACGCCCCTCAGTCTTGTCCTTTCTTTCTCTTCTTCTTCTTCTTGCTCTTTTTCTGCGGCTCTTCCTCCTCCTCCTCCTCCTCTGTTGTTGTTTTTCTCTTTGGCCTCTCCTCCACCCGTTCCATGCTCTCCCACACCTCGTCATCCTCATCTTCCTCCTTCACCTCCTGAGACCCCGCCGCCGCCCCGCCCCCATCCTCCAGGTCTCGGCTGGCGAGCAGCAGGCAGTTGAGGCGGGACTTGAGGTAGACCTTGTGCTGCAGTTTGCGGTCCTCCAGGCTGTGGATTCGGAGGAAGCGGTCCAGGCCGCAGGATGCGACCACGGGCTGGGAGGGGTGACACTGCAGCCCCCGCACGCCCCCCGCCAGCCCCTTCAGACAGCCACGCACCAAACCTTTCCTCAAGTCCAGCAGGGCGATCTGGCCGTGAGTGTTCCCCACCACCACCGTGTTACCGCCGGTGGGCAGGGACAAAGCGGTGAGCGGGTGCTCGCCGTACTCGGCCTCCAGCACGGGACGCCGCTGAGGGCAGGAGGGATCGAACACGTGGACCTGGCGGAGGAGAAATTATGTTAAAGCTGCGTGACAGAAAAACTCAGACACACAGTTGACAGTTGTGGTGCGTTCAAGGTCATTACAAATGCAAACAAAACTTCAGCGCTTAAGAAAACATCACAAACTGTAGCAATAGTTTTGTTGCATATTGTTTGTCTGCGTGTTAAAAAAATTAAGTGTAGGAAAGTAAAGTTACGTTAGTTGAGTTTAAAAAGCAAAGTTACGTAGGTTAGGTTTGGAAAGTACAGTTATGTAGGCTAGCTTTAGGAAGTAACGTTACATATAGGAATGTGAAACTACGTAGGTTGGGTTCAGGAAATAAAGTTGCGTAAGATGGATTTAGTAAAGTAACGTTACGTAGACTTGGTTTAGGAAAGTAAAGCTACATAGGTTGAATTTAGAAAGTAACTTTACGTAGGCTAGCTCTGGGAAGTAACGTTACATATAGGAATGTTAAGTTACGGCAGTTGGGTTTAGGAAGTAAAGTTGCAATTTAGTAAAGTAAATTTACATAAGTTAGGTTTACAAAGTAAAGTTACGTAGTCTGATTTTAGGAAGTAAAGTTACGTGGACTTGGTTCAGGAAAGTAAAGTTATGTAGGTTGAATTTAGAAAGTAACTTTACTTAGGCTAGCTCTGGGAAGTAACGTTACATATAGGAATGTTAAGTTACGGAGGTTGGGTTTAGGAAGTAACATTACGTAGACTTGGTTCAGGAAAGTAAAGTTACGTAGGCTAGCTTTGGGAAGTAACGTTACATATAGGAATGTGAAGTTACGTAGGTTGGGTTTAGGAACTACTGTTACGTGGGCAAAGTATAGGAAAGTTTAGGTTTAGGTAAAGACTCATGGTTGGGCATCGTCACGTTGTGAACTTAACGTAGAGTTACATACTTAACACGACGTAAACTTGTCAGATTTGAATGACGACAGGCTTCTGTCCTGTGTTTTCTCTCTGAATGGTGGGGCGACCCTGTTGGAAACATTTTGTTTACGTAATGTCCTTCGATATTAACGTATTTGCTGTGTGCCGAATTAAACAGGACATTTCAGTGAACATGAATCAAGGGATAAAAACTTTTTCAATGACGTGTAAATTAGCTCACAGAGAAGTAAACTTTAAAATGGACAGTTTTTGAATGTAGTTTGGCCTCAGGGACTTGGAGATCTCTGTTTTACAGCTATGTTTTCCCTCCACATTTAGCCTAGAAGATGGAGCGACCCTTTGTTGACATTGTGTTTTCGAAATGTCCCTTTAATATAGGTGTATTTGTTGTGTGCCGAATTGATCAGGACATTTTAGTGTACATAATTCACGCAGGACAGTTTTTTCAATAAAGTGCAAATTAGCTCACAGAGAGCTCAACTTTGAATTTGACAGTTTTTGAATGGAGTTTGGTGGATCTCTGTTTCACAGTTAATTCTTCCCACTTCTAGCACCGCACTGCGAACGCACCTGATGGTAACCTGTGCACGTGACCACTTTGTCCGAGTCCGGGATGAAGGCCATGTCTCTGACCCAGTGCGGCCGCCGTAGATCCAGCCAGTCGTCCCGCAGGTTCTTCGCGGTGAACACGGGTTTCTCGGGGTTCTCCAGGTCCCAGATCTTCAGCCCGTTCTCCTTCCCGCCGGTCGCGACTCTGTGCGGGTGCACCGGGCTCTGCCGCATCCTGCACACGTTCTTCCCCGCGTTCAGCTCCGTCACGGGCTCGCTGCTGTCCTCCCTCCACACGCGCACCGTCCCGCACTCCACGCATGTGACCAGCGCGGAGCCGCTGAGCGCCGCCAGCCCGGTGAAGCAGCCCTCCGCCGGGTCTCCGCAGCGCCGGGTCTCGGTGAAGACGCCCTTCTCGGTGCTGAAGGTCTTCACGGTTCCGTCCACCGAGCCGACCAGCAGCTCGGTCTCCGCCGGGTCGCCCCAGCACAGAGCGCGGACCTCCTGGTCCCGGCTCAGGTGGCTTGTGTTGCAGAAGTTGAAGGCCTGTTTCCGGGACAGACTGACCCCCTTCAGGATGCCGGTCTCCGAGCCCAGCCACACGGAGCACAGCCGGCTCGTGTCCCCCATCACACCGGGTCTAATGGGACCGAAGACGGGATACAAAACCGGATTTCAGCGGCTCCGAGTCCAGAAGACACACGTGCCCTCCTCTGAGGACTGTGTCGCGCTTTGACTACGTCACACCGCAGTGTTTTCTGTTTTTAAATGAACTTTATTGAACACAGCAGAAACTGATGTGTTTTTTTCTCTCTTAACTTTATTGAACACATTTAATTTATAGGGAACCAACATTTTAGATTTTATTATAAAATGTAGAAAATATATTTTATCATATAAAAATAACATAAAAATAAATTCAACTGCACAACAAATAAACAAAATGTTGGTAAAGAAAGAAACATAACAAAAACATTTCGGGTCTGCCAAACACATGGAATAAAACTGAAATGTCAAAATAATCTTTTTATTTTATTTTATAATTATTGTTATTGTTGTTTGCCAATTTACAGTTTTTGAGTTGTAAAATTTCAAAAGTAGTTTAATATGTTTTAAACATTAGTTAAAAGTAAAGTAGTTAAAAATTAATGAACTAATAAATTGATTTTTTTTATTTATTTTTTCTCAGTTCTGCTGTTTTCTTCTTTTTAATTTTCTCTTATTTCCTTTATGTGTACACTTTAAATATTTCCTATAAACATTCTTTTTTGTTTCTTTTTTTTAAAAAAAAATGTACTTCCACACCTTTACTTTTCTCAATAAAATAAATAATTTAAATAATTTAGATATCTTTAAAAATATGAAACACGGATATTCTTTTTTTGCCAAATTATTTATATCATGAATAAAATCTTAATTATGAGCTCTTCATCTGCTGAGAAACTAGCATTGTTTAAAATGAGTAATATACTGTGTATAAATATTACACACACACACACCTACATATATATA